AATGAAAAAAACAAAAGAAATGAAAAAACATGAATAAAATGTTTACAAATAATAACTAGGAGTATACGTATAAAATGTAATTGTAAATTGACGGGAAATTGGTTTATTGTGGAGGTTCTGTAACTTGTGATTCAATAAATGAAATAGTAAATGTATTTTTATGAACACCTTCTGATATTTCGATTTCTTTATATTCTTCAAACCTCATATTGTTCTTATTTTTTATCAATTCATAAACTTCATCAGTTATTATAATTTGGTTTGCTAATTTTTCATCACAAAGTTCAACAGAAACATTCATTGGCTCTCCAATAACTTCAAATACTAAACTTTCATTATTCAGTTGGCCAGCAGTGACAGGTCCACCAGCATGGATTCCAATTGTAAGTAATAAATGACTATCAATAGTGAGATTTATTTCTTCAAGGGTTTTTATGCATTCATTAGCAAAAGAAACTGATTCAAATGCAGAATTTGTGATCTCACTTTCCAAATTAAATAATCCACTCAGGCATTGATAATTATTATTCAATATTTTGGTTTTAGTCACTGATGGATAATCTTCACGAATTAAATCAAATGAATTGAAAACTGATGATAAATTTTTTAAAACTTGTTTTCCAGAAAATGATGTTATAACTTCTTCATAATTGCTGATTGATATGCAAATAGCCACACTATTTTTAACGGAAAATACATTTTTATGTTCGGTTTTCTCAGATTGCTCAATAAGTTGGAATGGGATCATTTCTTTTATTAATTCTTTTGATTTCTGTTTTGCCATTTCACTAACTTCTTTGTTATGAATATTTGCTGTTTCATCTCTCATCAGCAATGCAAATACGTCATCTACATCAATATAAGTTAATAATGTTTCAAGGTTGATTTTTGCTCCATCATCGCTTAACCCAATCAAAGATAGTCTTTGGATTTTTTCGCATTCATTTCTTTTTAAAAGTGGTAGTTTCTCAAGGATTTTGAATACATCATTATCTGCTATTATTTTCGTGATAGAACTCAAATACAATTGTTCATGAGTATATCCAAATGTGTTACAGGTAATCAAATTATTATCAATTATTTTCCCAAATTCATCAATAAAAATAATGGAGTTTCGAGAAAATTTACATGCTGAATTTAGAGGAAATATTGTGAGTAAGTTATTTGCGCCAGTTGTTCCTGTAATAATCTCCATTAAAGCACTATTTTTGATAACAGAATTTGGAGGTAATCTAGCTATTAAAATCAATAGTGTATTAAATCCTTCTTGCATATTATATAATAGAATTATCTCAATTATGAATATGATTATTGTGACAACAATAGCAATGATATTAATCATCAATATTCTATTTTTTAATAATAATGATTGAATATTGAGACCATCAGCTAATACCTCTTGAGCTTCTACCATTTTTGGCAAAAGATGAGATAATCCAATATGCAGAAACTGAATAAATTCTGGAGACTCACCAATACTTTTTGGATCTGAAACCGTTCTCATTAGTATTTCCAAATCATATGCATTTTTTTTAAATAACATCATTAATTGATTTGCTGATAGACACTCATATCCATTATGAATACTATTTACAGATAAATTGATTTCACAAGAATGCTCAAAATGAATTTTATCAAGTTCTTTATCAAATTCATTGCATGTCGTTGAGGAATCTGACCCCCATAGCAAAGCACTATGATAATTGTATAATTCTTGAGCATCCAGTCCTATCTGAAAAAGATGATATTGATAGGTTGTATAATTCGTCTCACCAATTAATGCGAATATTAGGGCCAAATATCCATTTATGATACTTTCTAATACGAGTGGAGAACGATGTGAACTTAATTCCAACCATTTATTTAATTTTACATACTTTTTATCCACATTTCCAATTAACAATACCAACAAAATTACTGCTGCTAGAGTAACAACACTATTAAAGACAACAAATATTGGAAGGGATACTCTCATAAATTTTTTAGACTCTATTGGTGTTGCAATCTCTTGTGAATCATTACTATCATGAACTGGAACGATTGGTTTTGATGCTTCTTTAAAAACTTCAGCTGGAAACAGTGTTATTGCATCTAGAATTTTTTGGAGCTCTTTCAACATCTTAACATATCCAAAGAAAAATGGAATTAGAAAAAGTAAAGCAGCTAGGGGAATTGCGGTACAATATACAATGATAATGATTTTTTGAAAAGATGATGAGGCATTTTCTTCTCTATGTAAGAATATTTGACTTTGAAGTCCCAAAGATATCGAAATTTTGCCCAAGTTAGATACAATTTCACAAACTCCTGCTGTGTTAACCCAATCCATTGGATCTTGTTCCTTGTAAACCTGACAATCCTAATATCCTAGCCACTATATAAAATGAAAAAAAGCGAATAGATTCATTGACTAATTCTATATGATTTCCATCATTTGAGCAATAATTTATTGATGTTTCTGCCATATAATTATCTCCTAATTGAGTGTATATTTCTTCTTTTGGTCTTAATTGAATTAGAGCCATAAGTCTTCCTAGGTTTTCTAACGCAGTAATGCATTGAGAAATATCATTTACAATTTCTTCATTAATATTATGTGATAAGTTATAATATCCTTGTAAAGAATCACCTAGCTCTAATTTCTCTATGATCATTTCTTCACTTGGATACAAATGTAATTCAAGTAACCATAAATGAGAGAATCGTAATATGGATTTATCTAGATTGGTTCTCACTGTACTAATTTGACTAATAATATGAAAGTTATCTTCTCGAGTATTAAATATTGATGAAGATATTTTTATCATTAATGAAAAAAATAATATTGAAATGAGAAAATTCGTAATAATACTGCATAAAGATATCTTAATTCCTATACTTCCTACATCATGTGCTGCTTTTTTTAAAGCAATTCGAAGCTTTGGCTTATCTAAAATACGTGATGCAACACTCTCATTGGTATCAAATTCTATCTCAGCAGAATTAGAAGATTCATATGATTTCGAACTGCTGCTTTTTTCACTCCTTCTTCGATTCATGATGTTTTTCCCTTTTAAATCTAATATTCTCTTTTTCAGATAGATGGGGAACAGATTTACCATCGATCGAAAAGCATAATCGACTGATGCAAGTTTTCCATGATCTATCAAATTTGCTTTCCTATACCATTGAACTCCTTCTTGAAAATCAGCATAGCATTCAATTAAGTATCTGGAATACTCATAGGCTAACTGTGAATTATTTGGATATTTTTCTATAGCTTCTCGGCAGATTGAATTGGTTGAATGGCTATGTGATGCTAAACTTAAAAGATTATCAATTGTGAAATTTTGAATTTCTTCATTTCTTCTGGCAAGAGAGTGTGAAAAAGAGATGATAGTTTTATTAATGGCTTTTCTTACTTTCGAAATGTCTTCGTTTAATTGTTTTGATGTGGATGACTGGCGTAATACATGAACTCTGCGAATCTGATAAAATAAAAATCGTTCATTTAATGATAGATCATTGTTTTGTGATAAATAAGAAACATACAAATTTAATAGCTGAGACTCTGATGGGAAAAAAGAAAGCATTTGTGCAATTCTGATAATAACTTTAGTTTTAGGGCATTTTTTTGTAATTTTTTTTATAAGTTTCCATGTAATAAAATCTTCACTCTTATCAGCGATATAAACTCTTAAAGCTAATAATGCACGAGATTCTGTAGATATATCTTGAGTTTCAATTACTTTTTTTCGAATATGTCTTTGACCGAAATAAAATGATGGAAATAATGGAACAAAGAAAATTAAAGGGACAAATAAGCGATATGCTGATGATATTGGAAACATTTGAAATAGTGTTGCAAAAATTCCAGCAAACATGAAAGTAGCTGTAACAACATTTGATAATGGCTTTACTAAAGGAAGAAAGATCATTTTATATAGCATGAAACAATAATATAAAATATGAAGTGACAACAAGAAGTATTGTGTCCAAACAGGTAATCCAATGATTAATCTAGATGAAACTGATGATATTGAATATCCTAAAAGGTTTAAAAATACAGGCAAACCATCCCACATTGTGAGAATGGTATTTTCTAAGTATGGTGTTGAAGATCGAAAAATTAGATCAATGTACACATAGAAAAGCAAAACAAAATAAATTAAAAGCAAGAATACTGTCGCTGCAATGTAAAGTGGACGATTGGTTGTAATAAATATTTCATTGAAGCAAAATCCAAGATGAAAGGAAGTTGGTAATAACATGAGAGGAATAAAAAAACTACTTAAAAGTCTGGTAATGTGTACAGTAAACCGGATAAAGGTTTTGTTCCAATGGTAATACAAAAGTAAACTAAGAGTCCACAGAAATGTAAACATTCCAAAGAATAACGTTATTATAAGTGAAACACCTTTACTAAATATATCTGGATCACCACACCCTAAATCAATAGAATAAACTAAAAATCTCAAAATTTTATCAGGATATTTCGAAAAATCCCAATTGTTTTCTAAAAATGGAAAAAAAGTTGCTGCATAACCTTGAACAATGGCAATAGAAACACCAATACAAGTAATTATAGAATTTGGCGGGGAACATCTTGTGAGTTCATCAATTATGGGAAAAATATTGTCGAATATTGTAATTGTTGATGCTTCGATAGGGTTTTCAGAACTATGACTGAATGACATAGTTGTAAAACCGGATCCATTGGAGTACCTTTCGAATGGCATCACAGAGGACCCAGTTTCATAATTCATTTATTTTATACATCAAATATATTGAATTTGATGCATTTGAAAGAAAATTTTAGAAACGATAGGAAACTCAAAAACTGATAAATGATGACAAATAAAGCTTTATCCAAATGTGGGAGTCAACAATCCAATTTTAATAGATATAATACATCACCATATTGATGGTGGAAAAAGATTCAGAGACATTTCATGGAGTTTTCCGAACTTCATCATGTATCCTTCATGATGTGTAAAAATATGGAAAAAATCTAAAAAAATTGCCTCGGCGCGGAGTCGAACCGCGGTCAAATGCGTGTAAAGCATCTATTCTAACCGTTATAATACCGAGGCTTCCGGTAATCGCAAAAATAAATTAGATAAATGATTATTAATTATCAGAATTTACTACAAAATGACCAAATTATAGTCGAACAACTCGAAAAAATAGCAAAATAAAACAAATAAATTTAGATCAAGAAGGTAAATAATTTTATGCATTTAAAATCGTTTACTTCTTACGTTTGGCTTCTTCCTTGGCCTTGATAGATGCACGCCAGGCCTTGTGGGCATCACGCTTAGCCTTGAAAAGATTTGTCTTTGTCTCTTCTGCCTTGATAACACGCCATTGGACTTGCTTTTCTGGTGCATTAAGAGCAAATAATGATGGCTGAGCAACACCTTCTGGGAGTTTTTCAGTCTTTGTATGGACACGGACCATCTTGTTCTTATAAGCTGTTAAGCGGTCAACGTTGACTTGTTTGAGTGAGTCGGTTGAGTGTGTGCGGAAGTGATCAACGGCAATTCCCATGAATGGGGCGCGTGATGGATCAAATCCAGCAGCAACAAGTTCTTCGCGTGTGAAACCACGGCCGAGGCGGATGCGGCGGTTGTAACGAGCTGTTGGGCAGTGGACAACTGGGCGAAGTGGTCCTTCAATTGGACGTGGTGCGATTTTCTTGGCGCGATTAGCACGAGCTGTTTGGCGACGAACTTTGCGAGCTGGGTCGTCGAAATATGTCTTGACACGCTTGTACCAGGCCTTACGAAGGTGGTCGTTTGGAACCATATTATTCTTGCACACCATTATGCGGAAAGGATGGACCATAACCGCTTCACCATGTCACTTTTTCGGAATTAAATTTTCCCGAATTGTTAATATTTCCCAATGCTATCATTATATTTACATTTGTTATATATCCTATAGGAGTAGTTAGGAAAAAAATTGGGGTTTGATACTCATTTTATCGTAAAATTAATCAGAAGTGGATAAAGTTTTTGAAAAGTTTTCGACTAGATATCTATTGAATTAGATTGATGCGAACATCGAAGAATGAAGTGTCATGTGATAATTTCGTTTTCTTGAAGGTACAAAAGCAGTCCCTTATCGACATTCTCAAGTACTTTCTAAACGTCAAATTTCCTGACAATATAATCCCACACGAAGCGCAAATATATCTCGATACTTTGAAACAGCCCTCCATAGATAAGATGCAAATCACTACAATATCAGAAAATGCAGACTCTCTTCTATCTTTGCCAGACATTTTAGCACCAATCGCCTCTACTTTTCGTTTTGATATTAATCTCCTCAGAAAATACGCAAATTCCGAAAGGAAGTGCTTTCCTCACGTCACTTTTGCTTTCATATTATCGTGGTTTTGCATTCGAGATCTTAACCCATTCACATCGGATTTGCATTATTTATTGGATATCATTAATGAACTTCCAGAATTAGTGAGTCAGAACATTAAACGATTTTGTCTTAAGGAAACCTTTTCGCATTATATTCAAAGCACAAATCAAGCAGTTGAACTCGAATTATTTCGAAAAGTTTTAGATGATTGTGATGCTTATTTTTTTGACCTTGCTGTTGCTGAATTTTGGGCTTCTAATGATTCATGTACCCAACTATATATCATGGAACTAATCTCAATTTCAATTGAAAAAAATCACGATACTTTTTTTGAAAGTAATTTTTCACCACTTATTTCCACACTTTCTCCTTTCCTAGAAATACTTGATGCTAATGCCCTCAAACTTTTAACTCGTCTTTCTTATGTAAAAGAAGATAGTTCTTTAATTTCCGCAATTTGTGGTCTTCCCAAAATAATTGAAAATAATATAAAAAATCAAATTGTTTTCCCATTGCCACAAAAAGAACTTTTCCCAATAAATAGTTTTTCTGACTTTATTTATAATTTTGATTCACAAGATACTCTTCCAGATGGACTTAAACCATTATCGATAAATTTATTTGATGAAGGTCAAAATATAGAGTTACTTATTCCGGAAAATTTTATTCAAATTTCTGTTACTCTTTCTAATTTTGTTGGTGATCTTACACAACAATGGACAAATTTGTTTTTTGAATCATTTGCTAAATATATTCTTGATTTACACAGTAATGAAATGTATCTAATTTTTGTTCTTCTTATTACAAAAATAGAGCATGGAAATATGACGGACATTATAATTCAAGCTTTACTTCATCCAGTCATTTTTTGTCCAGGTATTACTTTATTTAATTCGAGTAATCTTACTGATTATTCTTTAGTTTTTTCAATACGTAAAACTGTTTTGGATCTATTTTTAACTAAACAACAAAAATCAATGGCAAATGTTTTGAAAATGCTCCGGAAATATTCGATTTTATTTGCAGAAATTATTGGACGGATACATTCGAAGTTATCATACTTTAATTTAGATTATATAACAGGGGAAGAAACTTTATCACCCATAATTCATACACTTTCACAACAATGGGTACTTCTAAAGAATTATCAAAATGATGAAAAAGTAGAAATTATTCGTTCAGCACGTTCCACAATTTTTATATTTCTATTTACAATTTTAAATATTAAAAAGGTTTGTATTCGCTGTTTTTCATCTGCAACTTTTGTCTGTGGATTTTTACCAAGAGCACTTGAACCATCGCTTCAGGGCTCCGTTTTATCATCACTTTCTAAATTTTTCATGTTTTATGATAAATCTTTGAATTCAACAATCGATATAACGACAACGAAGCAAGTTTTATGTGGAATTTTTGATGTTTGCCAATCGGGAAATACAAAACTTGCTTTAGATCTTCTTAATGTAATTAATGAAGCTGCAGCAATATATCAATTGCCTGAATTTTTTGAACCACTAACTCCTTCAATTACTTCATTTCTAAGTAAATATCCATCCAAATCATTTTTAACACAAACATTTCAATTATTTTCTCAATTATCTTTAACTTCAGCATCATTTGAATTGAATCATAGCCAAATTCAACAAATATCATCTGCTGTTCGAATCGTCGAAGGAAATGATCCATCTAATGACACAATTTCTGCTTTGCTTGGTTTAATTGGCTTAAGCCGCAATGTGAATTCAAACGCGATGTTTTTAATTAGGAAGCCATCAATTATCACACTTTTATTTAGTATTATTCGTTCAAGAAGTAAACTTGAAGATTTACTTAATTTCTTCAATAAATTATGTAAATATTCTATCTTTAATGTTTGTCAATGCCATCGGGGCGAATTTGATTTTCTACTTCTTGAAATGATGAATAACATTTCTAAACCATTTACTTTTCGTGGGTGTAGTTTTGATGCTTTAGTTGATATTGATTTAATGAAGCGAGTTGCATTGCCTTTATTGATTAATATTGCATCAATTATTTCGAGTAATGCAGTTGCCACAAAATTAATGCGCTTTATTTCACTCAGACAAGAATTATCAGTTACAATTCTAAACAATTTAAATGCAAAGCTTTCATCATTAGTGAAAATGTCACTTCATATTATACCGGTAGATTTCACAGGAGAACCATTATTTGTTATAAAAGGAATAAACTCATCATCAATTAATCAATGCTATTCAATGCAAATGTCTTTGCTTGTAGATAAGCCTTTAACTGTTGCAAATAATCAAAAACATATTATTTTTGAACTTGATGATCCTGATGACGAATTAAAAATCAGTTATTTAGTTAGTGGTGATTCAATAATTCTTCAAGTGTCAACTGATAGTAATTTTTCTTCGTGCGTATTATGCCAAAATTTCCCAAATTGTACATGGATGAAAATTTCTTTGATTTTTTGTCGAATTGACAACGATACAGGAAATTTCATATTCATTATGAATGACTATGTGCCAAATCATTTCACTGTAAATTGTCCTAATATGAAAAGTTCTAACATTACTGCATCAATTGGCTATACACAATTATCATTAAAAAGTACATGTAGTAATTTTGGTAATTATACTTCCAATGCTTATGAACGTTTTGAAGATAAAAATGGATTTCCATGTTTTATTGGTAGATTTTGTTTTTACCCAATAATCATTTCTAATGAGTTATGTCAAGGGTCAGCAAATATTCGATCACATCGATATAGTGAAGTTAATGCATATCCACTATTTTCTTATCCTGAAGAAGAATATTCAAATTCTTATCGTTTAAATAATGGGCGTGAAAAAACCGTTAATCAAATGAAATCAATATTAGAAGTATTTGGTGATTCGCAAATTTTAGATTATTTACCTTTGTTTCCACCATTAGACAGCATGCCTGAAATGTTTCCACAATTACTTTTGTCTTTGATTTCCACAATAATTTCATACTCATCGAAACAACAAGAAAATATCGGAGTTTTTCCCGTAATCGCTCAATTGTTAATGGAATCTAACCCAAAACGATTAACATATTCTTTATATCAACGATTGTTTGCATTTATTGATTGTTGCACCAATGAAAGTCTCACACAAGAATTAATTTCACATATATTATTGAATTTTGAACTATGGATCAAGGCAGAACCTGCACACTTGAATAGAATTGCGGCACATTGGGGCTCTTCTTTATATGCAGCATGTGGACGCTTATTAGATGAAGCAATGAGTTTTAGTTCATTAATAGCTTTAATTCGAATGTATTTCTGGTTTTGTCCAATTGAAGCAGATATAATTTGCGGAAAAAATCGATCATCTGATTTCGATATTGATTTAATTCGCCAACACATTGATCGTTTACTTACTTCTATAATCAAAGCTAATGGATTTAAACCGAAATATGTCTCTGCGATCCTTTCACATTGTGCATCATGTCAAGATACAAAGCAAGTTATTCATTTTCTTGCTCTTTTTAGAAATAATTGCATGAAATTGAACCAATCTGTAATAAAACAACTATTTTTCTTTTTCAAACCAAAGAAAGAGGCAATTTTCATTGAAACTTTAAAAGCGATTTATACTATCGCTTCGAAAGATACCATTTCTTCAATTATTTATGAAATTATTTCTATTTTAAATAATCTATTCTGCACAGAATTTTTGTTAAATAATCTCCTTGATATTTTACATGA